CCGCCGGCCGATCGAGACCGCCAGACGCACCCCGGGGCAGGAGACTCCCAGAGAACGCCCAATCCCCATCGCGCCTTCGATCGACGGGATGGGCGGCCCGCGTGGCGCTGCGCAGACAAGAGCTTCGTCGCGAGGACAACTTGCCTGATGCGGCGCATCGTCGTCTGCTGCTGCTCAAGCGGGCAATCGGTCAGACGTGCGCGGCGGGGTCTGTCCGTCCAAGTGTCGCACCAGATGCGACCTCCTCTGGGGGCCGCTTGGGCGTCGCGACGCGCTGCTTTATGGCGGCCGCGCAGGATGTCCACCCGTGACGTGGCCCAGTGTTCGGCGCCGGCCATCGAGGGCCTCGAGGACGTCATCCCGTCGCTCGCGAGTGGCGAGATCCGCCAGGACGTGGCCGGGCTGCCTGGAGATCTGCCCGGCATGTCCGACGCAGCGCAGCAGCTGACAGAGAGTCCATTGCAATGAAGGTTCGGCGTCTCAGGCCCGGTTGCACCGCCCAGCTCCGCGCGATCCGGAAGGCCGACGGCTCGGCGACCGCGGGCCCTGAGCAGATCGCCGAGGCGCTGGCCCAGCACTGGAGACACGTATTCGGCAGGCAAGATATCGACCAAGACTCACTGACAGCGTGGATACGCGAGGCGGCGCCTACTTGGGAAAGCAACCCGCTGCCTCGGGGTAGCGGGCGCTGGCGCGCCACCCGTGCAGACGTTGCATGGGCTGTCCGCGCGGCGTCGCACTCTGCGCCGGGCCCGGATGGTATCCCAGCTTGTTTATGGGAGCGTCTCGGCAGTCTGGCGGTTGACGTGTTAGCAGACGTGGAAAATTGTCTTCGGTCGGAGTCTGCGGTCGACGGCATTCGCGATGCGCGCCTAGACGACCCCGACGGGCCAGATTTTTCAACCTCGGCATGCTCTGCTGCATCCCGAAGAAGGCGGGCGAGGTGGACCCCGTGCTCGGCGCCATCCATGAGCCTGGCAATACGAGGCCGTTCTGCTCAGTGGACGTATCGAGTCGGCTGCTCGCCTCGGCGTGCAAACGCAGATGGGGGCAGGGGTTGGGATTGTGGGTTTCGGATGCCTAGCGGGGTTTCTTACCTGGACGATCAATGATGCCGAATGTCATCGAGCTTGGGGCGAGTGCCCTCCGGACTGCAGCGGAACATCCCCTCGGCGTGGTGGTGCTCGTGGATTTCCGCGCTGCGTTCCCCAGCGTGGCGCGCCACTTCCTGCGCGGATGCTTGCGAGGGTTCGGTGCGCCGGAGGAGGCCTTGACCGCGCTTCGCGCTTTCTGCGCGGACGGGGCCTTCTCGATATCGGTGGCTGGAGGCTTGTGGAGCGGATTTGCCGTTGGATCAGGGGTCCGCCCAGGCTGCCCGCTGTCGCCTTTGGTTTTTGCTGCTTGCATGGGTCTGCTCCTCCGCGCCCTCCAGCTCCGCCTTAGTGACTACTGCCTTCTCCGTGCGTTTGCAGACGACGTGGGCATGGTCCTGGGCGACGCGCGCAAGCAATTGCCGATTCTTGCTGCTGCGCTAGAAGAGTTCGAGCGCCTCTCGGGCATGCAGGTAAATCTGGATAAGACAATCTGCACCCCACTCTGGGGCGACAGTTTGGAGGAGGCGCGCGCCGTGATCGGCGAGGCTGCGCCGTCTTGGTCACGGCCCCCCCCTGTCCCGAGAAGCCACCTACCTTGGGTGCGCCGTCGGCCCGGGGAAGGTCGGCGAAGAGAGGGGCCGTGCAGCCGTTCGGTTTCGAGACCGCGTTTCTGGCTGGCCGTGGCCCTCACTGGGATTGGATTTTGTTGTTTTCGTCTACAACGTGTGCGCGCTCCCAGTGCTCAGTTTTACTGCCCAGATTGCGGACGTTGGCGCCGCGGTCGGCGAGCTGGAGGCATGGTCGTTGCGTCGCGCGGCCCGTGGCCCAGGCATTTGGGCGATGCCAGAAGATTTGTGGCAACCCGACCAGAATTTCGGCATGCCCGGGGCCTTCGGGCAGCTCGCCATGCTGTCGCAGGCGGTGCAACTTCGTTTACATAGCTGCGTGCGAAGACTGGCGCCTCGACGCGACCAGCGTGGAGCGCACGGTGCTCGACCTTCAGGCGGAGCGGGGCCAGTCTGAGCACACTTTGCGGGTCGGGCGTTGGGCAGGCTGGCTGCACGCCTCATCCCCGGGCGTTCTCGTGCGCAACGCGTGGCAGCTCCGGCGAAAGGGCATCATGGCTGAGCAAGTGGTAGCTGCGCTGACCGGTCATAGTTCCGAGGCGCTGCCGGCCGAGGCGTGGGGGCAGGCCCGGTACGCATGTCAGGCAGAGGTGCGTGTCGGCTAGGCTTGTTGCGCCCAGACCACGCCCGCATGCGCACTAGAGCTAAGTTAGAGCAGTGGCAGCTTCCACGGATTCCGCTGTTAACGCCGCGGCTGCTTGCGGACAGGTTCCTCCGGCATGTGCGGGCGTTTGGGAATTAGGTGGCGCCTCGAGTCGTCGCCGCTGTTTTCCGGACTGCGTGGAACGGCTGGTGTACTAAAAGGCGTTCTTAGAGGCGCGACGGCCCGCAGGACTTTGCGTATTGGGGTGCGGCTGCGGCATGGACAGCATCGAGCATTACTCGCGGTGCGCAATGGTTCGTTAGATGTTAGATGTTCAGCAGGACTAGCACCTACCACTCTGGATTGGCGTCGACGACGCCCCGACCGACTAGAGAATGGTGGCTCTTGGCGCCCTCGGCTCGTATGCCGCCTACCGGGCCACCAGTGCGGCGCGCCGCACAGGTGGCTTTCGGGCCGTAGAAGGGGCTCGGGCTTTCCAGCCAGCTTGACGGGAGGCCGTCGTTGGGCACGCTCCGTCAGAGAGGCTGCTTTGGAGCATCTGGCGGCGCGCGGACACGGAAGGCAGGTGAGGCCCGCAGCGTGGCGACGGGTCGCCTGAGGGGCTCTGGGGCTAGCAGCGCAGAGTAGTACATGGCTGTCTGCTGTCCTTGTCTCCCCCCCCTCCCCTCCGCCTCCCTTCCTCCCCTCCCCCCTGTTTCAACCGTGGTGCAGTTGTGTCGGGCCGGCCGCAGGGCCCGTTTTGCAGCCGAGACGCTCGCCGAGGGCGGTTCTGCCCCCCTCCCTCCTCCGTCCTCCCCTTTCGTCCTCCGCCTCTCCTCTCCCCCCCCCTGTTTCAACCGTGGTGCAGTTTGTCGGGCTGGCCGCAGGACTTGTCACGCAACCGAGACGCCCGTCGAGGGCGGTTCTTCCCCCCTCTTTCCTCCGTCCTCCCCTTCCGTCCTCTTCCTTGCTCCGTGTTTGAAGCGTGGTGCAGCTTATGGCCGATGGCTTCCGGGACACGTTGCAACCAGCGGCCGATCCGGGCTGCCCTTCCCCCTCGTCTCGTTCCTCCCGCTCTCGCCTCCCGGAGGCGGAGCCCCGGCAAGCTCTGCTGGGGCAGGCCGGCTCTCCGCCTCCTCTGCCTGTCTCGTCCTCGCTCCCCCCCGAATGCTCGAGCTCCACCTCTGGACAACCGGCCAGTCGGAGGATGCTGCCAGCGCAGTTCGCTGCTTGCTGTGTATTCTCCCCCTCCTCCTCCTCCTTGACCTCCTCCTCCCTCCCCCTCCGTCCTTCTTGGAGTTGGGCGCTTGTGTATCTACGCAGTGATGTCTTGCATGATGTCTTGCATGCGGTTTTTTTTGTCATCCCGGGTCGCGCTGCGTTGAAGGAGTGTAGCTCTCCCGATTGCGCGCGCCACGTGCCCGGGGGTCCGCCGCTTCTGCGCGGGCGGCGCTGGCGTTCCGCCCAGTGTACTTGCCGGGCCCTTCGCCCCGTCTTGCCTGAAAGTTTGCGGTTGGCTCCTTGCGGGCTCGAGCTGCTGTCCCATCGTTCTGGCACAGCTCCTCCTCCCCTCCCCTTCCTGGCTCCTCTCTCCCCCCCCTCCCCAGCGATATGTAACCATATTTGAGATTTCAACTTGCCTGTAGCATCGCTCGCTCGCACATTTGGCGTAGCTCCTCTGCCTAGGCATGAGGCTTTGCTCTGGCTCATCTGCTTTCCGCTCGTGTGGGTCCTTGGTGCGGATACCTTCTCTGGCAATTGCCGTGGAGACCGGTCTACGCACGCACGAGTCTAAGTTTACAAGTGCCCGTCGACTTCTCTTCTCTGTCTCCTCCTTTTTTTCCTCCCTCCCCCACTCGCGTTGGGCACCTCTGCGAGTCCTGCCGTCTCCACCAGTAAGGGGTACGCACGCGCGAGTTCCCTATTTGTGGCGTGGTATAGGTGTACGTGCCGTGCTCAGGTCGCTGGGTCGCCGTGTGGACGTTGAGTTGTACAGCCCAACTATATTGCTTCGGCGTGGAGTATTCCAGCAGGCGTTATTTACCACGCTAGTGCCGGGGCCTCGGCACTACACTGAGAAGAGACCTGAGGGACTTTGATCATCGGCTGCCCGCGTCCCCTTCCTTTCCCTTTTCCCACTTCTCCAAAAGTTGCGCTGGAAGACTATTGCATGCACGTGTGTATAAACATCAAGACGAGAGAGATAAGACATAACGAAATGGATGCTATAGTCAGAAGGAGAGAGAGAGAGAGAGAGATAGAGAAATATATATATATATATAGAGAGAGAGAGAGAGAGAGAGAGAGAGAGAGAGTGATGATCACGAACATGCGGGTTCGGCCTCGAACCTCTTGTCGTACGCGTTGTGGTGCTACTGCAATCCCGTTGGTTAATATGCCATGGCATTTCCGATGTTCTCTTTGTGGAGGACAGGGAACACCTGAGAAGCAGGCAGAAGGCAATCGAGGCTCTCTAAGAGACGTGAACACATGACGCTCATGGTGTTTAGAAGTGGTTCGATTCGCTTCTGTTTGTCCGTCCTGGTTACCAAGGTACAGGTATGTCAGCTCGACAACATGCCCACATGCCCACATGCTCGCATGTCCAGAAAAGGCAGACCCGCATGCCCACATGCCCAGAAAAAGGCACCAGTGTCCCGAGAGGGTCTAGTTCCACAGAGCGAGAGCACCCGCTAGATGTGCATGCTCAAGCACGCCTTCGAGAGCCAATCGCTGCTGGGGCTGGTCTACAAGATCGTCAGCGAGACGCACCCGGAGCCGCATCGCATGTTTGTCCTCCGCCCCCCCTCACGGCTGGCGGGTGGCGGCTGGGTGGATCGGCCGATCGATCGTCCAACGGCGCCCCCCCCCCCCCCCCGCAAGGCCCATGAGCCCTCTGCTGCCCCTTCCCCCTGCTTTCTTTTTCACGCTGGGCGAACTTACGCAACTGAGCTGGAGCGTACGTGGCACCGCTCCCGCTCCTGCTCCTGCTGCTGCGTTGCGCTGCGCTCGCTCCAGATGCGCGTCGGGGGCCTCCGCCGCCGCGACGCCCGCGGCCCACCGTGAGGGTGTCAAGGAGGCCAGCACCCGCTGCTCCTGCCTCTGCTCAGTATGAGGAGGAGGAGGAGGAGGAGGACCAGTGTAAACACAAGAGTCATCAACGATGTTGGCATGAACCCTCCCTTCAAGATCCTTCGTCATAGGTCCCTACGAGGGTTCTTTTCCACTGAGGGAACTGCCTCGTTGGAAGGCAACCGTTTGAAGACCCTGAAGCATGCCAAAACATAATTCTCGGGACTCCAACGCCAAGGATCAACCTGAGTGTTGCGTCTTGACGATCCTGAATCTTGTCAGCATGCCGTTCCTGGGACTTCAACAACGCGAACCAATTTATCTGTTGCACCCTCATAGTCCGAAATCTTTCCCAAACACCGCTTCTGCTACGCTGACCACGGGAATCCGTCAAGTTCTTGCAATGTGTATTCAGATTTTGCGCGGCGAAAAGGCGATAGCAACATTTTGAAAACGAAGCGCCCTCAATCCGTGAAACTCAAGCAACTTTTAGAATGGAATGTGCGCGGCGGTAAGGCGAGAGCCACACTTTGAAAACGAGCCGCCCTCAATCCGTGAGCTCTTACACTTTTTAACGAATGCGCGCGGCGCTAAGGCGACAGCCACATTTTGAAAACCACTCGTCTTCAATCCGTGAAACTTTTGTTGCAACTGTTTCAAACGAATGTGCGCGGCCACATTTTGAAACGACCCGCCCTTCATCTGTTAAACTGTTGCCAATGTTTAAGCTTCAGGGTCATAGATGGTGAGGAAGTCTCAGACGAAACACCCGGCCCGCCTTTTCGACCGGCCTCGGGGTGCGACAGCGAGAAATCATTTATAAGGAAAGGAGTTGAGGAGGAGGAGGATGAGGAGGAGGCAGGAGGCACGGCAGCAGGAGCAGTATGATCAGAGGAAGGAGCAGCAGGAACGTGCGGCAGCAGGAGCGGGAGGTGGAGTGCACGAGAAGGGGGAGGGTAGGAACAGGAGCGGCAGGAGCCGGAGCAGGAGCAGCAAGCAAGAGCAGGAGGATTAGGAGGAGCAGGAGCAAGCAGGAGCGGATTTGGCGTTCAGGCACGCCTTGAACAACTCCACCTCCTCTTTGCGATTCCACGTTGATTCCCTGCTGGCTGCCCGGCAACTTACCCTGGCATGGAGATGCTTGTCCCTCCAGCGTATTTACCGAGAGTTCAATGCAGACGCCGATGGCATTTGCAACTCCATGCTTGATATCGCTGCGGCAGGCCACACCCCGGGCCCAGGAGAGCACGAGGCAATCGTCGCTCTGAACTGGGAGCCTTTTGTTGCTCCTGCCCCGAGGTGACGCCGCTCTGCCCCCCTACGGTGGCTCCCCCCTCTCGTGTGGTCTCGCCCTTCTTCCGCCGCTCGGCCGGTTCGTCCACTGGTCTCCGCTGCTTTCTCTCTGTTGCCCCTCCCCTTCTGGCGCCAGCCTGCGCCGCCGTACCCGCGCCTGTCGGCGCCGCTCGCTGTCTGCATTTGTACGACTGTACGCTTCACCAGCCGCCTGACTAGTTCATCGCACAAGTCTCGTCTAAGCTCCGACGCATAGCTTAAGAGGCGAAACGACTGCAGGGCAAGTCGTAGATGCAGAATTTTGTAAGTTGTATCGCTTGATCTGGTTCGCATCTTGCTGCTGAGGTTTCCCATCATGGTTTTTGGAGACAACAATCCTCCTCCTCATCCCCTCTCTCCCTCCCTCCTCCCCTCCCTCCCTCCGTCCCTCCCTCCCTCCTCCCCTCCCACTCCTCTTCTCTCCCCTCCGCCTTGCAAGCCTCGCCGTGAAGCAAACGTCCTAATGGAACTGGGTCCTTACGTTTTTTTCGCCAGTTTCGGCCTCCGTTGGCTCTCTCTGGGCCTCGGGACCGTGAACAAATAATTCAGGATGATTGATTTGTCCTGGGGGAAGGCCCCCGGGTCCAGGACCCGTTTCCCTCATGACCCCTTGTATTTCGTGCCAAACAGTTTTTTCTCCTTGCAGATCGTTTCCCCTCGTCGCTCTGACAGCCGGGCGTGCCAGAATGGCGGTCCAGGCGTTTCGCCTGAGACGTCCTCACACTCCTAAAGGATACACGTGTGGATCACGTGTGGTTTTCAAGCTGTGGTTGTCGCTTGAACGCTATGCACATCGGCCTTGACAGTGTTCAGCAGTTGCACGGATGGAGGGTGGTTATTCACGGAGCTTGGTCTCCGACATTTATCTCTGCATCACTGCTGTCAGCTCGGTCTGACTCGGGTCCGGAGCGATCGGTGTTTTTGCTTATGCTACGCTCGGCGACGCATTTGGCTTTCTGCGTGTGTGTATTATATAACCGGTTGGAGGCCGTCCGGGGTTTGCGCACACGCGCTACGTTTGTCTAGCATGGTCGACGCTGCCAGCGAGTGCGAATGCTGTCCGACTCGCCTGGGAAGGCAAGCGCTTAAGCGGACAGGAATCGTTTTTTCTCCAATGCGTCTGGTCTGCAGTATCAAACAAAAACACAACTTTTTCAGCATTTTCTCGTATTGCGATGAGTAGATGCGTTTGTATTGTGAAGGCCTGACGACCAGTGCCGCCGACCCTGGACAGGAACGACGACGACGACGACGGCGACGACGGCGGCGGCGGCGGCGACGGCGATCACGACGACGACGCTGACGCTCTGGAGCCGAAAACTTACGTCATGGAGTGGTGCTGCCCCCCCCCTGTGTGTTTGTGACAAATCTCAGGGACCCCCCTGGGACCCCCCTGCACCCCGCCCCCCACCCTACCCCGCCACGGGGGGGTGGGGGTGCACAACCCCTGGAACCCCCCTGGTCTTTGTTCTTTGGGGGGTTTCCGTGTACTCAATATGGGAAACCCTCAGAAGCGCGTTTTGCGCGCACAGAACGCCCGCCTCAAGGCATCCTGTATGTTCCCAGACCCTGGCCGCCAGGCCCTGAGATGATGTGCAGGAAACCTTCAGGAGTGCGTCTTGCTCGGGCAGAACGCGCCTCGAAGTATCCCGTAATTCCCAGGCCCGGGCCCTTGGGCGCCGCACTGTGGCGCCGCGGCCCGAAACAGGGGGGCCTTGCCCGCGGGGTCTCCCCCCCCCCCCCCCTCGGTGGGCGAGACGGATCAAAGGGAAAGGGCTTCCACTCGACTCGAACACGGCGCTGCTCGATTTCCCTCAGACTGGAACGTTTGAGTGTGCAGGTCGATGTCCAGGTCGCGGTTGGCCGTGGGACCCCCGCCAGTGCTGACGGGCTCGAGGCGCAGATCGCAAGGGCTCTCGCTGCACCGTTGCGGGCGTTTGAGTGTGAGCGGCGACGACGACGGCTCAAACGGAAAAGCCCTCCACACACGCAGACAGGGTCGGCGGATTTCCTCACATCGGCGAGGATGACGCACACCGTGTTTCCTAAAGTGTACGGCTTCCCCTGCAGCGCCTCGCTCGTTCGATTCAACAGTCTCCGGCAGTTTCACAGATGGGGCAAGAAACGCTTTCAGCATGGGGCAGTTGTCCCAGGGGCTGGGAGAGGAGACTAAGCACCGAAGTCCAAGCAGCAACGGCCGCGGGCAGCGCACAGGGCCAGAAGAGCCCACGAGCATGAATGCACGCGGTGAGGCCGCCAGCGCCGCCCAGGAGGACGCACGCCGCCTGAGTGGGCCTTCTCCTCCTCCTCTCTTCCCTCTGCGACCGCTTCTGCTCCTGAGCCTCGAAATGAGCGCATCGCGGTGCCGTGCAAACTCGCCGTAGTAGCTCTGACCGCGACGAGCGCCTCCTGTCGCTGCCGACAAGAAGCAGCAGCCCACACTTGGGTGTCCACGCGCAGGAGTGCACTCGCAGGAGTGCATGGGCCGACGGCTGACCACGGCCCGTGGGCCCATGCCCCTTCAGAGGGAGACCCCGTAAATGCAATCACTGCTGTAAGGGGAACTCAGATGCATCCATCGGCATGCGGTTTCAGCTCAACACTCAGATGCCACGAGGGCGAGGAGTGGGGGAGGGGGAAGATGGGGAAAGGGAAGGTGGGTCGGGGGATGCGGGGCACATGGGCAAAAGGTAGGACGAGTCTTTTCCCTTTCCCTTCGTAGCTACTACGGGTGGTGGCTATTCGTGGGTGCTACCGGTGATGACTATTCGTGGTTGCCAACAGTCCTGCTTCGTGCGTACACCGGACTGGCCTTTACGAGTGTAAATCGGCAGCATTGTCGCATTGTCTTGCCAATTCTTTTATCTGGAATCTGTGAGCCAATCGTGCTCTCTTAGATCCCCTGCCGATGCGCCGTTGCCTGGCGCCTGGCTTGACTGACTGACCCCGTTTCTAACACCTCGGCATTCCGAGCGAAGGCAGCTGCACCAGCACACTGTGACTGCCTGGGCCGCCACGGGGCGCCACAGAAACACAGAGGATACGGAGGGAGGGGGCGGAGGGATCGGGGATGGGAGGTAGGGGGACGGGAGCGGCATGGTGGGCCTTGCTTGCTGCGTGCGGCAGGACATCCCTGTCCAGTACAGCGACGACCTGCGGAAGCTGCTCGACCGTGTGCTCGAGAAGTCTCAGTGCCCGAGAGGGGGCGCACGCCGCGGGCCGAGCTGCCGCTGCGCAGTTGCCTTCCGAGCGGGTCCTCTCCACGGGCCGTCGATGGCAGGAGAGGGGAGGCCCTGAGATCCTGGCGCAGCGTTTTTCATACTGTTCGGCTCCGCCCTGATCTGGGCCCCGGGGGCCCTCACGGATGGATCCGGCTCGAGGTATGCAGCAGGAAGTTGGGACTTTATGGCTCCGGCTGGATTTCTCACGATATCGAACTGGAGAGGCTTTACGGCAGGTGCCGCTGACCCTGAATGACGACGACGACGACACCGACGACACCGACGTTGGCGGCGGCAGCGGCGAAGAGGACGACGACAACACCGACGACGACGACGACGACGACGACGACGACGACGACGACTTACGACGAGGACGACAGCACCGACGGTGGCGGCGGCGGCGGCGGCGGCGGCGACGACTTACGACGACGTCGACGACGACTTACGACGAGGACGACGACGGGGACTTACGACGACGACGACGACGACGACGGTGGCGGCGGCGGCGAAGACGACGACGTCGACTTACGACGACGACGACGACCACGACTTACGACGACTTACGACGACTTACGACGACGTCGACGATGTCGACGACGACGACGACGATTTACGACGACGACGATTTACGACGACGACGTCGACGACGACGACGATGACGACGATGACGACGACTTACGACGACGACGACTTACGACGACGACGACAGCACCGACGGCGGCGGCGGCGACGACGACGACGATGGTGACGACGGCGACGACGACGACCTACGACGATGACAACGACGACGGCGACGACGACGACGACTTACGACGACGACGACTTACGACGACGACGAAGACGACGACGACGATGACGATGACGACGACGTGAAGACGACGACGACTCACGACTTACGACGACGACGATGACGACGATTTACGACGACGATTTGCGACATCGACGATGACGACGACGACGATGACGATGACGACGACGCGAAGACGACGACGACGCGCGGCTTACTACGACGACGACAACGACAAGACCGACGGCGGCGGCGACGACGACGACGGCGGCGACGACGACGATGACGACAACGTCGACTTGAGACGACGTCGTCGACGATGGCTTACGACGACGACGACGACGACGACTTACGACGACGACGACGATAACACCGACGGTGGCGGCGGCGGCGGTTGCGACAACGACGACGACGACGTACGACGACGGAGATGGCGATGACGATGACGATTTGCGACGACTTACGACGATGACGAAGACGACGACGACGACGGGGACGACGACGACGACGACTCACGACGACGGCGACGACGACGAAGATGACGACTTACGGCGACAACGATTGCGACGACGACGACGACTACGACAACACCGACGGCGGTGGCGGCGGCGACGACGACGACGACGGCGACGACGACGATGACGACAACGACGTCGAGTTACGACGACGTCGACGACGACTTACGACGATGACTTACGACGACGACGACTTACGACGACGACGATGACGATGACAACGACACGACGACGACGACTACGACTTACGACGACGACGAAGACGACGATGACGACGACGTCGGTGGCGACGACTTACGACGACGACGATGACGACGGCGACGACAACGACGACTTATGACGACGACGACGATGACGACGACGACGTCGACGACGACAACGGGGACGACGACGACGACGACGATGACTTACGACGTCGACGACGACGACGACTACGACGACGACGACGGCGACGAAGACGACGACGACGACGACAACGACGACGACGATGACGACGACGACGAGCCCTCTCGTGGGCCTCTTGGGGGTAGTTTTGGGGCCTCTTGGGAGACTTTTGGCGGCCTCTTGGGAGCCTCGTGGGGGCCTCTTGGGGTGTTCCTTGGGGTCTCTCTGGGGCCTCTTGGGGCCACTTCGGGGGCCTCTTGGGGGCATCTGGGGGCCTCCTGGGAGTCAGGCCGAGGGCTCGACTCTCAGGCCGAGGGCTCGACACGTCCATTCGGGTCCCCCGTCTGGGCTCCCTCTTGGAGGCGTCTTTGGGGCCTCTTGGGCTGTGTTGGAGGCCTCTTGGGCGGTCTTGGGACCCTCTTGGGTCGTTTTGGGGCCCTCTCGGAGGCCTCTTGGGCGATCTTGGGAGCCTCTTGGGCTGTCTTGGAGCGTCGGGAAGCCGACACGGCGAGAACGCCAAACGATTTCGCAAACTGAAGGAAAATATATGATTTTTGCCCCTGGGGGCCCTCTTTGGAGTGCTCTTGGAGGCCTCTTGGGGCGTTTTGAAAGCCCTTTGAGCCGTCTGGAGGCTATTTGGGCGTCTTGGACCGACAATTCGGCGATTCAGGGCCCTCCAGGACCGTCTTGGGGGCCTCTTGAGGCACTCCGTCCTGGGGCTTTTCTACACCCTGGGACCGCCCGGGGGGGGATGCGTATCTGGGGGGGCGACCCCCCGCCAGGACCCCCCATGGGGACCCCCCCATCCCCCGGCGGGGAGGGGATCAAAGGGAAGGGGCTTCCCTTGACTCAGCTTCGACGTTGCTCAATGTCGGCTTGGCTGGCGGGCTTAAGGAGGAGGCCCAGGGAAAGGAGACGGGGGACGACGGAGACGACGATTGACGGAGACGACGAGGAGACGACGGAGACGCAGGCGACGACGGAGACGAACGAGGGGGAGACGACGGAGACGACACGACGACGACGGCGACCATCGGAAGAAGGTCTTCCACACGCCGACCGGTCGGCGGATTTTCTCCGCGACGTCGGATCTCACGGGATGCCAGTGGGGGAGATGCCCCTAGGGACGGATGGGAAGGAGGCAGTGCGAGTGAGAGAGGCAGGGACAGCAGGGAGGCAGGGAGGGAGGAGGCCAGAAGTGAGGCAAGATGGCGGGATGTGAGGGTCGGTTGTGCGAAGCACAGAGCCGCGGGAAGCATGCATTTGTTCATCAGGAGTCCTCTTGCATAATTGTCTCTTCGATTCATCTTTGGCTGGGTAGTTGAGTTTGCCATCTTCGAATAGGTTGCCCCGTGTAGCCGCAACATTTCGACATGGGCCTCCAATGGCTTGACATCCTTTTTCCTGCGTCCTTACTACCGTTTCTGAATGCGTTCGCCATCCCCTGAGGCTTGCCTGGCAGGGGTCGGGGACCCCCCTGAGAGACGACGGATAACCTATGGAGCCCCTTGGCCATACAGGCGCCTCGGAGAGGTGATCATTTTTGTAGGCTCGCTCTAGCACTGGTGTCGAACCGTGCCAGGTCTGGCCAGAAACGATCGGCACTCGATGTGAGTTCGACCTCGACCGCTCTGGTTCGCATTTCGGGCTCTGAGTAACGACGCTTCTGGGCCAGCGTCACCCCAGCGCGCGTGCAGTGCATTGGGCCGATGCGCGCGTGCGCGCGTGCAGTGCTCTTTCTGTCGGTGGTGTGCCCGAGGGACGCGGCCAGGTACGATCGGCCGAGCGGAAAGGAGGTCATGGCCGACCCCTACGTCCGCCGCTTCGTGGCTGGAGCCACCGCGGACTTCTCCGGCATCCTTGCGGAGCTCCGCCAGGGGGCGGGCGGCGGTTGAGGTGACCCCCAACTTCGTGCTTCTCTGCTGCCTCCGAGGATAAGATTGAGAGATTACCAACTCCTGCGTTCCTTCTCACTCCGCCTGTCTGGCCTTGGTGGCAGAGGCGTGGTTCCTGCGCGCTACGCTGTCGTTCTCATCAGACCGTTCGGGGATCCGCTCTTGGGAGCGCCTCGACTCTCCCGCTCGCTTCTCATCTGGGCCTTCAGGGAACCTCCTTGTCGCCATGGCCTGACGCGTCTCGGAAGGTGGGTCAGGATGGCAGGATGGACCCCAGACAGGTATAAACTTGGGCTCATCATGTTGAGGGAATAGTGACTGGGGTTCATGATGTCCCCCCTCGGAACAATGTAGAAACGGGTTTTTACTTCCCCTGGAGGATTAATTGGGGTTCGTCCTGTTTCTCCCAGAACATTATAGACACGGGTGTATACTTTTCTGGGGGGAGATCTTCGGAACCCAAGAATGATTTGGATTTACTATGCAGGAATCATGTTTATGATTATTTTCCCCCCAACCCTTGGGCTCCATAATTTCGTTCATCAACTTCGAGTATTAACCCCGTTTCATCATCTCCGGATCATTATCAACAGGGTTTCGTAATGTTCGGGGAGTAACGAGCCCACGTTTCTAATTTCGGAATGATAATACTGGAGCCTTGGGGGCGTCGCCTGAGCGAAAGCCGGCATGATGAACTCTGGAATGAAAATGCTAGTTTTTTCCACCAACCGGGCTCCAGATTGAGATTCAGTATGTTCGAATCTTGACCCCAGTCTGTTTCTCTTGAGAATATGATGATCTGGGGTTTGTAATGTTCTGGGATTCATCATTTCGGAATGATAATGATAAAGCGGAGGTGAACGCCTGAGAAGGGGGTATGGACTGAGAACAACCCTGGTTGATTATGTTATGTCGGAATACCTGGATTCATTATTCCCGAATGATGCGGTGGGGTGGGGGGGTGAACCCGATCCATCCACAGGACGGAGTCCACAGGGAGCTATCATCTACAGATAACGAACCTAGGTTTATCATTCCATCATAATGAACCACGGTCGACGAGGATTTCGGATTCATCCTCTAGGATGGCGCCCGGGAGGGGTCCTTCATGGAGGGGGGGGGAGGGCGAGGACGGCAAGGAGGCGGGTGTTGGTGCCCACTTTTTGCTGCCTCGGCACTGGCCAGCCACCTTGGGCCACCTTTGGCCACCTTGGGCGCTCTTCACCGACTCCTCTCAAGCTCATCACTACCCTCTTCCTCTCAAGGGGCCGAAACCCGTCTTTTAACAGATGGCTCGCTCCACAACGGGCATCGCCTTGGGCCCGACATTTTCTTTACCAGCCCATCGAGTGGACTGGTTTTACTGGCCCCTGCAAGTTCATTTCGGGTCCTCTTCGGCCCTGGGGTCTCAGACGTTACACCTGATCTATCAACATAGCACACACTATGACGCTGATGATGAGAATGGTGATTATGCTGATGATAATGATGGTGATTATACACCTGGTAATGACGATGACCATCGTGCTGATGCTGCTGCTGATGATGCTGATGATGCTGATGATGCTGCTGTTGATGATGATGATGGTGGTGCTGGTGATGATGATCATGATGCTAGTCCTGGTGGTGGTGATGTTGAATCTGTTGCTGCTGCCGATGATGGTGATGATAAGGAGGATACGGGGACCGGGCGGATTATGATAATAATGCCTATGATGATGCTGATGCTGATGATTCTGAGCAGGAGAATGATAATGATAGTGTTGGTGACGATGGTGTCGAGGATGAGGATGCTGATGCTGATAATGATGCTGCTGCTGATGATGATTCCGATTATGATTATGCTGATGTTGATGATGATGCTGCTGATGACGAGGGTGATGGTGATGATGGTGGTGGTGGTGATGATGATTCTGATCACGATTATGATGCCGGGACTGAGGTCGATGGTCATGATGATGGTGCTTGTGAGATGACGATAACGATGACCTCGATGATGATGATGCTGATGCTGGTGTCGATGATGATGCTGATAGTGATGATACTGCTGCTGCTGATAATGCTGATGACGATGATGATGACGATGCTGTTGTTGTTGTTGTTGTTGTCGTCGATGATGCTGCTAGTGATAATGATGCTGATGACAATGATGTTGCTGCTTCCGATGATGATTCTGATGATGATGATGATGATGGTGATGCTGCTGATGATGCTGATGAGGATGCTGCTGCGTGATGATGATGCTGATGATGATGATGATGCTGCTGCTGATGATGCTGATGATGATGATGATCATGCTGATGATGCTGATGATGATGATGATGATGATGATGCTGATCATGATGATGCTGATGCTGATGATGATGCTGATGATGCTGATGATGGTGATGGTGGTGATGATGATGATGATGATGATGATGATGATGATGATGATGATGATGATGATGATGATGATGATGACAACGGAGCGTCGGAGGAAGGAGGTGGAGCGTTTTGGGCTCTCCTGGGCCGCAAATAGAGCCCTTCTGATCCATTTGGCTCCCTTCCCCTGGCCGCCTGGGGAGCACTGCGGCTGTAGATGGCCCAGGAGTGTCCCAGGGGAGCTTCAACAGCGCCCTGGGTGACCATAAGAGCTCAATGTGGCCCAAGAGAGTTCCAAGAATGCCCGCACGGCTTCAAGATGGCTCAGGGTGATCCCAGGCGAGCTATAGAGGGCCCAACACGGCCATAAGATGGCCCGAAGCGGCAACAACAGAGCCCTCATACGATCCCAAAAGGGATAATTGAGCGCCCCCAAGCGAACACCTAAAGACATCGTTTTGGGGGGTGGCTCCACTGGACTCCAGAGTGTACCTGGACGGTTCAACAGCGTCCACGATTTTCGCTGGAGTCGCCGGGAAAGCAGCCCAAGAGGCCTTGAGCAGAAGCCAGCTAGGCTCCACGAGAGCCCCAGAATGCTTCAAGGTACCTACGGCAACAAGACCCTCATCTTTCCCCAGTCCACCAATTGTCCCCACGAGCAAATGTATACCGATATCTGCGGGCTTCTGACATCTTCTGTGTCTCCACCAGAACGCTCTTAACACAACGGCGAGAGAGACGACGAAGAGGGCGAGGACGAAGGGGAGGGCGAGGAAGAGGAGGAGAAGGGAGGAGTGAGGAGGGAGCAGGAGAACGGACGATGGAGAATGCGCGGAGGCAGTATGTTGATGTGGGTACACGTGTTTGCATGATGGGCTGCAAGAAGATTGCCATTCTGCCAATGGGTGCGTGGCCGCTGGGCGCCCAAACTGGAGGAGTCTGAGCGCACGCAATGATTCAAATCGTTTCTACCATGCAACCGATCCCGTCGCATGCCTTTGCAGATACTTGCATGGCGTTGTATAGCTTGTTACAGCATGGCACCGCACAGCACATGAGTTCCCAGCATGTAGATCATTTTACGCTGCGTAGCATAGCCACTAATGTCATACCACATCGTTGCACCGCATCGCGCACAATGTCGCATCAGCATGGCGTAGAACTGCGTTGTGTAGCAGTTTATGGCAAAGCATCGCGTTTTGTATAGCGTCACCTAGCGTGGCGTCGCACAGCATACTGTTGATTGTCATTGCCTTTCGTTGCATAACATAGCGTATACTGGAGTTGTCGTGCGTTGCCCAGCATGGCGTATCATAACACAGCATCGCGTTCCACAGCGTAGCTTGGCATACCATGGCATTGTACATTCTGCAGGCCCCAGTGTAGCATTACACACCACAGCACGGTATACCACTGCCGTGCACAGCAAGCCACGGCGCTGAGGCAGCATTGCCCCAAACCTGCGTCGCGAAGCAAGCCACACCTCAGCATGGCGGATCGTTGCGCAACGCATGGCAGGTGACTGCTGAGCGGCCCGATCGACCCCTGGGCGATTCCCGAGCGACAACCTGGGCGACCCCTCGGGCGGCTCCTGGGGGACCCACGAGCCAGGATCGAGCCAAGGGCTGGCAGGCAGATGGCCGCTGGCCCGCTCGCGCAACACAGGGCAGGGCGCTTCGGGCAGGGCCTCTCGAGCTGGGGAGGCGCTGGCCTTCACAGATCGCGGCCTCGCCTGCCCCCCCAAAAAGGACTCTTCAAGAAAGGGTGAGGGGGCCGAACGGTCATTCACTGTCCCTGGGCGCGTGGCTGACGTGGGGCTCCGCGGTGCGGATTATTGTCGTGTTAATGTCGTCGTCCTCGCCCGCGACCCTCCCGCGGTCCCCCCCCGCGCCCCCCCCGAACCACCCCGCGACCGAACCCGCGACCCATCCCGCGACCCACCCACATTGCTTCGACGAAAATTCGGCGCCTGCGGCGGGCTAGTCGTGCAATGTGTCAAAAATCGGCGCCTGCGGCGGGCTGCTTCAGAGCCTCGCAGACTGCCGACGACCTCAGCGCCCAATCACTCTTATCCGCATCTGCGAGGTGTATGTTTTTTTGTTTCGGCGGCGCTGCAGGTCTGAGCCCTATTACACCTGAGAAAACCCCATCAGTGGGTGTTTTGAAAATTGATACGATGGATCTTGAGATCGATTGTGAGATTGATAATGAGATCGATAGTGTAATCGATCGTGAGAACGATTGTAAGGTCGATCGTGAGACCGAGAGTGACATCGATTCAATGAGATCGATAGTGAGATCGATCGCGAGATCGCTCATGCGATCTCTAGTGAGATCGCTTGTGATATTGATAGTGAGATCGATTGTGAGATCGATGGTGAGATCGATCGAGAAGTCGGTAATGAGATCGATGATGAGACCGATCGATAAGAAGATCGACCAGGAACACGGGAACCCGGTAACCTCGCCGCCCTCCGAAATCGGCCCGGAACCCGGAACCGGGAACCCGGGAACTCGGAACCGGGAACCCTGGAACCCGGGAACCCAGCCTGCCACCAAAATCGGCGGGAAACTTTCGCCAAATCCTTCAACATCCGCTAGGACCCCTT